AAAAAATGAATGCTTTATTTTCTTACAATTATACATTAGCTTTATTTTTCTTTTTATTACTGATATTTTTCTAATTTCTTTGTTTATATTAAAAGTTTTTCTTATAGGACAATTGAGTAAGACAACAACAGAAAACATTGCATTTTGTACATCAAGTTCTAACCTGCTACATATGTAATTGAGGAGTTTTATTATATAATAATTGAACTTTAATGAGTGAATTAAAGCTGGGGATGCTTTACCACTGAGCTACAGCCCCACTCTCTTTTATTTTTCATTTTGAGACACCATCTTGCCAAATTGCTGAGGCTGGCCTTGTACTTGTGATTCTCCTGCCTTAGATTCCCAAGTTGCTACAATTACAGGAGTTTCCCATGGCCCCCAGCCCCCTGGAGATCCTTTATACTGAGTTATTTGAATCTACTTAAACAGTGTTTGTTGTTGTTGGTTGTTTGTTGTTCTTTAGGTCATGCTATAGAATGCTTCTGAAACAAATGATAAAATGGTCATTGCCCTTATTTATTTATTTGGTGATGATCAAACCCAGGGCCTCCTGCATGCTAGGACTAGCACTGAGCTACATCCCCAGTCTGAAGAACTGTATTTTTAAAGAAGGCTCATGGTATAATTAGAGGACATTTTGTTTTTTCCCCTTTTTCTTTTCATTTCCTTTCTTTCTTTCCTTCCTTCTTTCTTTCTTTCTTTTTTTTTCTTCTATCTTTATGTTTGAACTCAGGGTCTTGTACATGCTAGGCAAATGTTCTACCACTGAGCTACACCACCAGCCCTAGAGGACCATGTGGAAGTACATTTACTACATGTTTGCTTAGTATATAGACATTTTAGAAAACATATTCATACATAAACCGTTTTTCTAAACTGTTGTTAAAATGTTGCCCTTCATTTGATAAAATATGGATTAACTATTAAAAAATAAGAAAAGTATGTTGGGATACAGAATACTCTGACCCAGACCTGTAGGAGAAAAAACATCTAAAAGATTTTGGGGTGGATTAAGTCAGGAGAACTGTCAAGCAAGTTGACATTTTTTCCAATTATTTGAACAACTTCTGCTGATGCAATAAAATAAATGGATCTGCACAGAAACCATCTCAGATGTTCCCATTACTGACTTGGATTTTAGAGAAAAATACTAAAGAAGCCGTTTTTATTCCTCTTTTTAACCATTTTCTGTGTTCTTTTTTTTTAAACCCCTTCATCAAGATTTATTTCAAGACTTGAAAACATTCAGACTAATAAAAAGGAACTACTATAATTTTTTATAATAAAAAAACATTTAATTAAAAACTTTTTAAAAAGTAGACACAATGGGAGGGGACTGGAGTTCTGGCTCAGTAGTAGAGTGCTTGCCTAGCATGCATGAGGCACTGGGTTTGGTCCTCAGCACCACATACAAATAAATAAAAATAAAGGTCCATCAACAACTAAAAAGATATTAAAAAAAGAAAAGTAGACACAATCAACTAACCCTAAACAGCACACCATATATGATATTCAACAGCAATGGCATTTAACAAAATATGAGGTGACAGTAAGACATCAAAGAACTTCCAAAGTCTAAATAGAACATAATTAACAGCAAACTATTCAGATTAAACAAACAAAAATCCATATTTACACTTTTCATATTTATTAACTGTGTCTAAACAATTTTCAACAACTAACTCAGTACTACCTTTTTCTGGGTTGTATGTATTCAGGTGTAATTGTAACTACTTTTCACTTTCAAAGTTTTTAAAAATAAACATACAATTTCTGTATAGACCAATAAACCAAGTTTTATATGTATCTTAGTATTTAAATAGAACTATAAAAAAGAGCCATTTATGTAAGTTGAAGAGGGTCAGGTATACATAATTCCATGATCCAGCTAACATGTGAGCCAGATAGCTTAACAAAGAACATAGGATGTAACATTTTCCTTCCTTTCATTTAAGTTTTAATTGTTTGTTTGGTTATTCATGTTCCCAACTACTTAGGTCTTTACAGGGACTTGATCTCTTTTTTTTTTCCTCCTCTTTTATTAGCAACTGTTAAACAGGCAGAGTTGTCAAATTCAAACTTAAATGAGGACACTTTGTTCTTTAGCTCAGGTCTTGTCTGGCTTTCTTATCTGAATATGGCCTGATTCTTATCTTCTAATGTATTGACCTCTGCTTGTCTCTGGGATGAGATAAACTTGTGTTTCTGGTTGGGAAGAGTGAGCCATAGGGAGGAATAGCTTGGAGGGTTATTATGCCCATTCCAACCTTTGTATTCCTGGTGTTTTCTCAGCAAGATTGACTCAGTGATTCAGCATCTTTTATTTTTCAAGCCTGATACCTTGGTTTTACTCAATTTATTAGAAACCACCAGTAAGGCAAACCCCCAAATCTGTGAGTTGCACTTTAGCTTTTATTCTCCCATAAAGTACAGTAAGGTATAAGAAAGTTTATAAAAAATAGAAAACAGTAGGTCTGTGATAGTGGCAGAGCACTGGCCTGGCATGTGTGAAGCTCTGGGTTTGATCCCCAGCACCACATATAATTAATAAAAAATCCTTTTGAAAATAAAAAAAAAATTTTTTAAATAGAAAACAATAATTATGAGTAAACTTTCAGACCTTGGCTGGGCATATTAAATATTTTTCACATACTAGACATGAAAATATATGTGATTCGAAATTACAAAAAAGATTATAATTATAAACTGCTGTACTCAAGTACTTAGATTTCTAAGGTCTTTTCAATTATAGGATTTGGGGGCTCTAACATCATTTTTCTCTAAAACAGGTCTAGAATAAAAACAAAAATCTACCTTCAATGCTTGGTCATGGTAGCCATCAAATGGTCAATTATAGATTTATATGATGTCTTTAAAAGGAATCTTCCTGGGGATATAGCTCAGTTGGTAGAGTGCCTTTCATGCATTAGGCCCTGGGTTCAATCCCCAGCACACACACACACAAAAATCTTCCCTCTTCTTTTCAATCTCTCAGATAAAAATGATAGAAAGGCCCAAAATTGATGCAGTTTGTGGACATTATGATTTTTATTATGCTCAACTTGACTTGTTGAGGAAGAGAGCCTGTGAACCAAGTGATCACTGCGTTCTTCAAAAAGACTCTGGAACTGAGGAGAATTCTAATCAAGAAGAAAGTCACAGTCCGTCACCTGCTCAATGGTAATGTGGCAGTCTAACCTAAGCTTCTATCCTCTGAAAATATCTTTTTGTATCAGCATTTTTTTTCTTTTTTTGTCTGTTGGTTTTGAGACAGAGTCTTGCCGAGTTGCCCAGACTAGTATCGAATTCCTGGGCTCAAATGATCCTCTGTCTCATTTATCAGCTCTGTTTTCTAAAATCCTCCTAAATTCTCCTAAAACAAATAATTGAGGAAGAATTTATAAAATCTTCACTTTAAACTCTTCATTCAATTTCTTGGCCCTTTTTTCATCTCAAATATGGTGTAGCTTATTTTCTTATTTATAGAGCCATTTAACTGTAGGCAAGCTTCATTTTCTCTCTCTCTCTCTCTATATATATATGTATTTTAACCCAGGGGCAGCTTAATCACTGAGCCATATCCCCAGCCTTTTTTATTATTTTAAGATAGGGTCTTGCTAAGGTTGGCCATATATTTGCCATCTTCCAGCCTCAGCCTCCCCAGTCATTGGGATTTACAGGCACATTCTTGAATTTTTAATGTTTTTTTTTTCTCCTTCTTCCTAGTGAGTTTTACTCCCAAGGGGTGAATAAAATAGTTGTATTTATTTCATTTTCCAAGGAGTTTATTCATAAGAATCATTAATAATTTAATTATTAAAACCAAATGATCACTTAAGAATATTAGAAAAGTGAAATAGATTTCATTCAGTGTTTATATTCTAGGGAGGTACATAATATGTATACATTCAAAAAAGAATACTATGCTGAAACTGCCTTTAATTAAAAGTTTACCCTAACAAATTTCTGCAGATCTATAGTATTTTCTTTTTATTCTTTTCTTGTTTGTTTTGTTTTTTACTCTAATATCACTGTTCCTGTGTTCAAAATGATGGATAGCCATCACAGGCATAAAGACCTAAGTCTGAGAGGTGGTTTTGTTTTTGCATTGTGCAAAACAAAACCCCAGGGCCTCCTGCATGCTAGGAAAGCACTCTACCACTGATCTACATACATCCTCACTTTATTTTTTTTTTAAATGTTTTTGCCATCACTTTTTGTTGTTGTTTTTCAGGGCTAGGGATTTGCTAACTTTGTTAACTTTGGTTATTTGTTGTTGAGTGTGTGTGTGTGTGTGTGTGTGTGTGTGTGTGTGTGTATGTATATGTGCACGCACATGTATATCTTGGGAGATTGAGCCCAGAACCTCATAAATGCCAGGCAAGTGAAATTTTGGATGAATCATATGTAATGAATCACTATGTAATAGTAATCTCATCAATAATTAGTGAAAATTAGATGAGGAAGAGTGGTAAAAGAATGATTTCTTCGGGAATTCACAATGGGAAAATTAGGCATTTTAATTTTAAAGATAAAATGGGTTGGGCTGGGGTTGTGGCTCTGTGGCAAAGCACTTGCCTAGCACTGGGTTTCATCCTCAGCACTACATATAAATAAATAAAGGTCCATCAACAACTAATAAATATTTTTAAAAAGAAAATAAAATGGGTGCTGGTATGGTTTTATTCATCATCATACCCACTTGATCAAAACAAATTATATGTTCCATTAGTTCAAACTGTAATACCCATGTAGGACTTAATTAGTAAGGGATATGAATTTTCCCTGCAAACTGGGAACAGTCAGAAAACTCCCTTCATCTTTTCTTAGACCTGGAAAAATAGATCTTCCATTCTTTGTCTAGATATTGGAACTGCCAAACTATCAATTGTTGTGATTCTGTATTATTTATCTCCCAAACTCTCACATGAAATGTTAGAAACTCCTTCCCTTCCTACATGTCCCTGCCCTGTCATAGCTCCATCTTGCTGTATCCCAGGATACCCCCTGGTGAGTAGTTACCTCTTCCTTGTTCTACCCTCCCCATTGCTCCCAGCTTTTGCTCCTATGGAACTCCCATTCAAAGCCATGAGCTAGAGGAACAGGATTTATTCAGGGCTGAGGGGATAGAGAGAATGTCTTTTGGATATTTTTTTTCTAATGAATATACTATTCCAGTTGGTTCTTTCAAGGGTTCAAGGAATGAGTGCTACAGTTTAGCTCTTTTTCAGTTCAAGCGCTCTCTGTGTGCCCTGGGCCAGACACCTTCACGGCCTGATCTCCTCTAAACCCCATTTCAATTCCTGTTAAATGGCATTGTGTCCGTTTTACAGGTGAGGAACTAAGATGTAGGAACTTTAACTAGTTATCATTTAAAACAACTTTTAAAACAACTATTAACTTCACTCTGTAAATTGGGGACCTCTCATTGTGATGTTCTTTAAAGAGTTATTTCTGACATTATAGCTCTGTCTTTGGAAACCCTAGAAATTACTGGTATCACCAAATATTTTATCACATAGTTCGTCCTGTGTTCTGAAATGTAGTAGTTTTTATTTAGCAAACAATAATTATAAGAAATTCTTTGTGAACATTCTATAATTTTGACCTACACTTCTTGAACTTGAAACTTAAAGGTGGGCTGAGCATGGTGGTGTACCCCTATAATTCCAGAGGCTCAGGAGGCTGAGGCAGGAGGATTATAAGTTCAAAGCTAACCTCAGCAATTTAGCAAGACCCTAAACAATTTAATGAGACCCTGTCTCAAAATAATAAATTTTAAAAAGGGCTGGGGTGTAACTCAGTGGTTAAGCAACCCTGAATTTAATCCTGGTTCAAAAAGGAAAAAAAAAAGCCAATGGTGCATTGTGAATTTCATTACTAAGCTGAAAATCCACTTGTCACATTGGTGCCTAAGGGTAGTTAAAATTCTACTCAAGCTGAACTTCCTTATTTCCTAAGGCCTGCTGAGTATCTTCAAAGGAAAATTGAAGCTCAACAATATAAGTTAAAAGTGGAAAAGCAATTGGTAAGTAAAATACTAAATATGGGAGGCAATTAGAAATTTGCTGGTTTCTCTGTTTGCACATATTCATGGATCTTTAAATCAGAGTTTATTCCACTAGAAGGGCAAGAGTACCTTTCATCTTTCCCTAATTTTTAATTGCTACAGAAGAATAATGGGAAGAAGTTTGAATCAGAGTCTGGAAAGCTTGGTTTTGTCCCTAGATCTAACAATTGCTGTTAACCTTGAACAACCCTTCTGAGCCTCAACTTCCTTTTCTATGAATGATCACTTTGGAGTGAAGGACCTTCTCCTGGTCCCTTTCAGTGTTGCACTTCTTTGATTCTGTTTTATTCATTTTTTGAGCTAGCTATGATTATATTTTATTAAAGACTTTTCTACACATTAAGTCAAGTAATTACAGGGCTGGGTTGTGGCTCAGTGGCAGAGTGCTTGCCTAGCACATGTGAGGCACTGAGTTCAATCCTCAGCACCACAAAAATAAATAAAGGCATTGTGTCCATCTACAACTAAAAATAATAATAATAAAACATAATTATTTGAGTTGAAAAGTTAACCTTTAACCTTTAGTACTGTCTTAGAATTCTGGGGCTGAGCCCAGGCTGCAAACACATCCCATTTGTGTCACTCATATTTTGAACTGCTCAAAAGTAGAGTTCTAATTCTCTACCCAGTCACAGAGCTTTAATTTCACAATTATAATTTACCACTTCAGAAGAGGAATATTGGTGTCTCGAATGATAGCATAAAATATCAGTTGCTTAGAATAAAGACCATAAACGTTTGCATTTTTAAAAAGTGTTCAGTGTTTCATACTTGAATTAAAAGAAATTTCTACTACTTGCCACAAAATAATTCCTCACTACCAAGTTTTCTCGGTGATATTTTTATCTGTCAGATAAAGTTAAGATCAAATCAGAAGATGTTTCCAGAATGCAAGAATGGTTTATAAATGATTTCATTCAATAAACAGGGTCTTCGTCCATCTTCTGCTGAGCCAAATCACAACCAGAGACAAGAGATTAGAAGGCATGGAGAAAAGCCTCGATTCCAGGAGCTGCAGTTTAGAAAAAACGAAATGAAGGACCAGGTTAAAAAATGGTCTAATACCAGGGCTACGATTGTGTGTTGTTTGTTTTCTACACCCTCAGCTCCTACCATTGTTTCCATGACTCTGTCTTGCTCTGTCCTAGGGTGCTGCTTCTGTTTCCCACAGGGTGCCTGGGAGGGAGCTGTACACACACAATCTGTCAAGCACTATGCTGGGTGTTTTAGGAGCAGACGTAGCTGTTTCATTTGCTCAGAGAATACAACATAGCTAAATTCATAAGGCCTCTTTCCTTGGATTGAGAAAGTAACTGTCGATAACCTATTTAGAATTTTTATTAGTTTGCCAAATCTGGTGTAAGGAAGTACAATAGGCTGGGTGGTTTAAAATAACAGAAATTTATTGTCTAACATTTCTGGAGGCTAGAAGTGCAAAACCAAAGTGTTGTCAGTCCCATGCCCCCTGTGAAGTCTATAAGGGAATCCTTCTTTGCTTCTTCCTAGCTTCTAGCTTGGCTGGCAATCTTTGGCGCTCCTCAGCTTACAGCAACAGAACTCCAAACTCCGCCTTTGTTGCGTGGCCTTCTCCTTAGATCTATGTCTATGCGTGGCTATCTTCTTGAAAGAACACCAGCCACATTGAACTAGGGACCAGTATGACCTCATTTAAACTAATTACATATGCAGTGACCCTATTTCCAAATAAGGTCACATTCAGAGACATTGGAAAGGAGGTAGGACAACACATATTAACCATAACAGGATTATATATAAAAGTAAAATGTGTAAAATAACTTTACATCATTAATTAATTTGTGGTTATATATGAACATGAGCTCTGTATCCTACACCAGTGTATCACTCATAGGATGTGAAATGCCACAGTCAAAATAAGGCAGATTATCATCTTAAGCAGCCACAGGTTTCTAATGCTTATTTTATATTATAACATATAATCGTTAAAAAAATTGTAGGCTAGACAGAGGTTATTTTCATTATATGTTGTTTCATTATATATGTTTCATGAATGTTGTTCACAAACATTTCGTTTTTGTTTTGCAGGAATATTGGAAACAGTTAGAGGAAATACGCCAACAATACCAGAGTGACATGAAGGAAATTAGAAGGAAGATGGGAAGAGAGCAGGAGGTAAATTCACTCTTCTAGAGGAAACACTCTGTCAATTAAGACCTGTCTAAATGAGTAGGTGTTAAAAGCAATGATCTTGAACCAGGCGTGTAGCTCAGTGGTAGATCTCTTGTTTGGCATGCCCAAGGCCCTGGGTTTAATCCCCAGCACCAAAAAGGAAAACAAAAAGTAATGATCTCTTTGTAGATAGGATAAAGTTTTATTATAGATAAAAGCATACAAAATTCTTTTTTTAAATAGGAAAGCTATCAGACCAAATAAAAGTTTCATTTTATTATGATTCACTAGTGAGACCCTGTCACAAAACAAAAAGGGTTGTGAGTGTAACTGAGTGGTAGAACACTTGCCTGGCATGCACAAGTCCCTGGGTTCAATGCCCAGTACCACATACACATACACACAGACAAACACACACACATACTTATTGATTTTCTTCGTTATCAGTCAGTATTTACTGAGCAATTACTTCAGGCCAGATCTGGATCAGATGCAGAAAGTTCAAAATGAGAATAAATTCATGTTCGTAAGGAGGAATAAAACCAAACACCTAGAGTTGATTCAGTTCAATATGGGCAGGCTGAATGTTCTAAAGTCTATACAGTCATGAGCAGTATAGGTTTTGGTCAGTAATGAACCATATATATAATGGAGGTCCAATAAGATTGTACTCCCTAGTGATGTTGTAGCTTGGTTTGTGTAACTACAGTTTCTGATGTTCACACAATTACAAAGTCACTTAATGATGCTTTTCTCAGAACATATTCCTATCGTTAAGTGATGCAAGACTGAAAAAGGCAAAATTTAAATATAGCTGAGAATGATTCTTAAAAATTCTGTAAAGGTGCCACATTGGAAGCTGATCTTTTCCAGAATTGTAGCAGATTGCTGCTTCTTCAGTAGATGAAGCAGCTAGCCTGTGTCTTGAGTATGCAGGATGAAAATCACTTGGATATTTTAATCCTAGGTGTGCTCTGGAATGCCCCTCCTATGAGAGATCTGTGGTCTCCCATCTCCCACCACTTGGCTGTGTGCTTGTTGAGTAGAACCCACACAACAGAAATTGATATCTCTTTCTCTCTCTCCCTTTTCCCGCCATGTTCCTCCACCTCTAGTGCATATGGCGGAATTACAATAAATTAAATGACGGCCCAATTCAATTGTATGTGTAAGAATACAGGCTAGAGTTTTCACATATCCTATCTCATTTAGACCCCAAACAGAGAAGTTGAGTGACTTAGATATTACAAGGCAGATTGAATATTAAAATATCTGACTCTGGAACTGGGAATGTAGCTCAGTGGTAGAGCTCCTATTGAGCATGTATGAGGCCCTGGGTTTGATCCCTAGCACATATATACATACATATTTAAATCTGACTCTGACACCTTTGTTCTTTCTAGCAGATGTAGTTCTACTCATAAATAATCGGAAAGATAAGACAATATATGAAACAACAATAGAACAAGCAAGACTGACTATAGTTAAGCTGTGTGCTCAGGAGCAAAGATAAGAAGGCTGAGTAAGAGGAACATTTTTTATGGAGGAAGGGGGTGGGACTAAGCTAGGTCTGAGAAGAAGTGTTGAATTTAGAGGCCGAGCTAAGGAGAAAGCTTTGGAAGAACCATGCAAAGATTCCAACAGGATGTGCTGGAAGGGCAGCTTGGGGTGGTTCTCTCCAGAGCAGAGGTTTTGTTCATGATGGGGAGCCTTGTGCTGGTATCAACCTTATATTTAAGGCAGGTCTGTGATAGGAAACCTGAGTCCAAGAAAGATGGGTAGCAGACATTTTTGTTTTGGTGGTCCTGAGGATTGAAACCAGAACTCCAGGCATCCTAGGCAAGCACTGGGTAGCAGACATTTCTAGAAAGATTATGAAAGAATTTAAGAAATGCTGGAAGCAGCCACAGGGAAAAGGAATTATAAGGCTCTAGGGGGGTGTAGCTCAGTGGTAGAGTGCTTTCCTAGCATGCATGAGGCTCTGGTTCAATCCCCAGCACCAAAACACACACACACACACACACACACACACACACACACACACACAGAGGCCTTATCCAGTCTGTCTGTCAGCAGGGATGTGTCTCTCACTAGACCCACTCAGACCCTGGTAGAGGGTTAGGAAGTTGCCTTCAGAATTCATGCAGAATCATTCTTGTTGACTGTGTACACTTTGTGTTAAGGAGAACTCAAAAATCAGTCATCACACCTATTTGGTGAAGAAGAGTGGCCTGCCCATCCACCAAGAAGCACCTGAGGAGGAAGCATCTGTGCAGGTAGGACCCCTGTTGCTAGATACACATGTGTTTTAGTCAGCATTTTTGTTGCCATGACCAAAGGACTTGAGAAGAACAATTTTAGAGGAGGAAAAGTTTATTTTGGCTCACACTTTCAGAAACGTTCAGTTCATGCTTGGCCAACTCCATGGCTCTGGGCCCGAGATGAGGCAGAACATCTTGGAGGAAGGGTGTGGCTAAGAGAAGAGAGAGAGAGCTCTGGTCACTAGAGACAAAATATAAACCCATTGACCTACTTCCTCCAGCCACATCCTATCTGCCTACCATACACTTAATCCATTATCAGTGGTTTAATCCACCTTTAGGTTACAGCTCTCATAATCTAGTCATTTCACCTCTGAACATTCTCTTTTTGGACCCAGGGATTGAACCCAGGGGCATTTAACCACTGGACCACATCCCCAGCCTTTTCTAATTTTTTTTAAAGTTGTTAGGGCCTCCCTAAGTTATTAAGGGTGGCCTTGAACTTGTGGTGCTGGAATTACAGGCGTGTGCTCTCATGCCTGGCTCCTCTGAACATTCTTGCACTGTCTCACACATGAGATTTTGGGGACACCTCATATCTAAACCATACCAATGAACTTCTCTGCAAGGTTGCTCTAGCCTGGTGGTTCTTATCTCTCACTGTGCAACAGAATCTTGTGGGGGCCTTTTAAAAACTCAGAGCTCTCTTTGTCAGTTTCTTTCTCCAGTTTCATGCTGCTGTTCCTCTCACATCAGATCTGCTGTTTGTCACTAGTTTACTTTGTACTTTCTGGGTTAGCTTACAGCCTATAAATAGGATCATACTATACTTGCTTTCTTATGTCTGGCTTCATTTGACATAATAAATGTTGAGATTTATCCATGTTTTGATATTAATAGTGCTACAGGCTGAGGTCTTCCAGGAAACTGAGGCAGCACAAAGACCCCCCTTAAAAACCTCAATTCTTATGATCAAGTCAGAAAAATTTTAGATGTGTCACTCATAGTAATGAGCAATCAGTTTATTAGAAGGGATGGAAAAGGGGAAAGGGGACACTCTTGGGAGGGAGTGGGTCTTCTCAGAGAGGAGAGGGACAGTGTGCCTCTCCTGCTCTCCAGTTTCATAGGGGAATCAGAGAAGTTTCCAGAGAGTCCTATCCTGGTCCACTTTTGACTGACAGCAGGATGATATCAGACTTTCAAGTCCCCACTGCTATGACAACTCTATGTCATTTTGGCCCATGCTTACACATTATCATTTGGATTGTTAACCAATCTCTAAGAATTCTTACAGATTTTATGGTTAGGAGGAATTATCCTTATCTACCAAAGTTTCGGGATCTGGTCTGCAAAAAGAGTCACAAAAGTCTCTCCCTTCAGGGTAACTTGGATTCCTTTTATCGACATTATTTTGGGCCTGCGTTTCTCTTGTAGATAACAGGTAGTTTGCTGAGGAATGTGACATATCCTGTCCACTTAGGCCAGGCAGGGCTGCAGGTAAATTGCTTCCTAGAAAAGAAAACACGTGGGGGTCAGCACAGTGGGCTCATTTTATAGAATTATTCCCTTAACCTCCTGTTCCCATCATTCACATTTGTCTGTCCCCTATCAATAGTATCATTCCTCTTTATTGCTGAGTATATTCCATCAAGTGACTGTATCAAAATCTGTTTATCCATTCAGCTATCGATGGATATTTCGGTTGTTTCCAGCTTATTACAAATAAACATATAAGTTTTTGTGTGAGCATATGTTTCTTTTCTTTCTTTTGGATAAATAGAGTGCACGGGAGTGACTGGATTATATAATAGATTTATATTTAACTTTTCTTTTCCCCCCAGTGTTGGGGTTGGAACCCAGGGCTTCACACATGCAAAGCAAGTGTCCTACCACCAAATTATACCCCCAGACACCCCTCTTTTTTAGAATAAGAAATAGACTCTTGTTGTGTTGCCTAGGCAGATCTCAAACTCTCAGTCTTCCTGTCTCAACCTCCTGAGCAGCTAGAACTACAGATAGGCACCACCACACCTGACTGGTATGTTTAACTTTTTAAGACACTGCCAAATGGGTTTGCAAAGTGGTTGAACTGATACATTCCCACAGGCTGTAGGAGAGCTCCAGTTCTCTTTTGGCACAGCTCCCTCCTCTCTGGGACTCTACCTTTCAGACTCTAGAGCCTTAAGTTCCCCAAGTTCACAGCTTTGTCTCCTCACGGCAGGGAGTCTGCCAGTCTCAGCATCCCTCCACCAAGCCCTGCAAACTCTCTGGAGACTTAGTGGGGGGGGCAGGGGGGCTGGGTGTGGCGGCTCAGGTCTGTAATCCTCAAGGCTCAGGAGGCTGAGGCAGGAGGATCAAAAGTTCCATGCCCATCTTAGCAATTTAGTGAGACTCTGTTTCAAAATAAAAGCTAAAAAGGGCTGAGGATGTAGCTCAGTGGTAAAGTGCCCCTGGGTAGGGACAGTTGGAGGGCTCATCACATCCCGTTTCTCAAGTATCCTCATTTTTCATTCTGGCTGTCTAATGTGTTAAAACCATTATTGCTTCTGTACTTGTTGTCGCTTTGGGGTTGTTTCAGTTGGGGAGTGACTCTGGTGCCTGGTACTGTGCCTTGACTACAAGCAGAATGCAATACCACTTCTTGGGTGTGTGAGGCGACCAAGAGTTCCATTCTGGAGTTAGAAGAGATCTGAGAGGTTACAAACCTGCTTTGGGGCTTTCACCCCACTATCCCCAATGCTTTCCCCAGCCAGACGTCTACTTCCTACACTGACGCCCAATATCACTCTATACCTTAAATCAAATGCCAAATAGCTTCTCCCATATTATTCTCCTCCCCTACTCATTTCTATTCTGTTACCCTATTTCACTTTCTTTTATAATACTTCTGAAATTATGTCGTTAATTTGTCAACTCATTTATTAACTATTCTGCTCCATGTCAGCAAGGGCCCTCGCAGCTATCTTCACTCTGCTAATCATTGCCTCGGCGTCTGGACCACAGACTGTTTACCTAGCATGTGCAAATCCCTGGATCTGATCCATAGCACTGAAAAAAAAAGTTATTATTTTTTTTTCTTTGGTGCTGGGGATTGAGCCCAGGGTCTTGTGCACACTAGGCGAGCACTCTTCCACTGAGCTGTACCCCAACCAGCACATTTATGTTGTTAAATTGGATCTGATTGGATTAGACTGCACTGGGGGGATGAGCTTTGTCACAATATAGAATTTTTACCCATTGAAATGTCAGGGTTTAATGTCTGAGTGTTGGTTGATTGACATTCTGCTTTGGTTTTTGATATTAATTTTCCTTTACAAAGGCATGTTTGTATTCTAAAATCTATCATCAGATTCAATCTAGAAATAAAATCATGTAAACAGACAAGGCTGTGAATTCTGAGGTTGTGAAAATATTATTGTTCAATATGAAGTGACAGAATCATTTTTTTTCCTCTAAACTTTCAGAACACTGAAAGAGACTTGAAACAAATGAGGCTTCAGAACATAAAGGAAAGCAAAATTCCAGAACAGAAATATAAAGCTAAGGTAATCCACATTTTTGTCTTTTGGCTCCCTGTGAGAAGCTGGCTGGGGGTCCACACCTGCAGTCTGGGTCACCTATGTGATTCCCCATGCCTCTTGTTATTTTATGGAATAGCCCTACTTTGTGATGTTAGACTAATGGTTTTAAGTATATGTAATGTTAAAATAAATTGATCTAGGGAGTTGTTATATTAAGGCTTTTAAAGAATTGCTAAATGAAAGGATTTTCCCCCTTGTTTTCTTATAGAGAGGAGTGAAGTTTGAAATTAATTTAGACAAATGTATTTCGGATGAAAACTCCCTCCAAGAAGAAAAGGTATGTTATTAAGTGCACACATGAGAAAATGAGTGTGTCTTAAGTTTCTTGAAATTGTTTCACAGGCTGTAGGGAAAAATTGCTTAAATATTCCTAAAAGGATCTCTAGTATTCAAATTGAGTCTTCCAAATACTTTTTATCCTTCTTCTTCTTTTTCTTAAATAGAGGTTATTTACTTAGGTAAATTATTATGTTTAAAATTATTTTTATTTTATGAAGAACCTATTTTCCTCACATTATTATGTTTTTATTATTGCCAAATTAAAATAGAAGACAGGATACATAGTTGACAACAAATATACTGACCTAAAAAAACTTGGGCAGGTACTCTGGGCACATTCATTTTTGGTCTTAATTAGTTACTGATAGCTTTGTACATATCTCTGGGTAAATCTCAATTATGCATTTGTCTCTCCTTGCCACAGAAGTAAATGGACATGTTTAGTAAATCCAAATCTCATTTTATTACTTGATTTCAACATCTTCTTTTAAAAAATATTTTTTTCTAGTTGTAGATGGGCATAATCTCTTTATTAATTTATTTTTATGTGGTGCCGAGGATTGTATCCAGTACCTCCCGTGCAAGGCAGGCACTCTACCCCTGAGCTGCAGCCCCAGTCCATCTTGTTTACATCATTTTTTATCATACCTGCTAACAAATGTCAAAATTAACTGATTGTTGTTCCATTTTACCTTCTCTAAATTCACCATTTAGATTACCAAAATTTAAGTATGAATAATCATATCTGATACTCATTTTTTTTCAGTGTGTGTGTGTGTGTGTGTGTGTGTCTGTGGATAAAATCCAGGGCCCTGCACATAGCATGCAGACAAGCACTCTACCACTGAACTACCTCCCCAGTTCTTCATGTTCTTTATTATCTTAAAACTTTATGGAGCTGGAGGGGTAGCTCGGTGGTAGAATGTGTGTTTAGCATGCTCAGCCCTGGGTTCAACCCCCAAACTAAACCCTCCACAAGACAGCTTTTGTATGTCATCATTTCATATTTTTACAAGCATTTTGCTACATAAAGACTTCACTATAATGGTGATAATTAGTTCCTACTTCTGTTCATCCATTAGGTCTCCAGGTGCCCCAGAGCTGTGGGATCAGAGCAGAGCAGGTCTGGGGAGTGGCACCTCCACAGGGCTTCTGTGACTGGAGGTGCTGAGATCGGCTCGCTAGAAAGAAAGAATGGACTCCAAAAGCACTAGCTGCCAGGGTGTTCATCCTCTCTTATTCTATGCATCAACGTGTTTTAAACAAAATTGATAATTTTAGTCTTGATTGTGGTGTATGAGGAGCAGTTTTAGGGACATAGTTGAGAATGCTGTGAAGTTGGGTCTGATTTGTGCACCCATATAGTGTCAGCTACTCCAGAGGCTGATGCAGAAGGATCACTTCTGAGGTCCAGAAGTTTGAGACCAGCCTCAATAACATAGTGAGACCCCCTGTCTCAAATAAAAGACAGTTGTGCTATAGACTGACAGCAGGACCTGAGGATGCAGTGGGATGGAACCGAAGTAGAATAATATTGAAGACTTTTCAAAGTCCAGATAAAATTAAGTGTTCATTACTATTGAGAAGGAGAAATGAAAACATGGCTATTTCTATCTCAATCACTGTAATTCCATTGTGTGTGTGTGTGTGTGTGTGTGTGTGTGTGTGAGAGATACTAGGGATTGAACCCAGGAGTGCTCTGTCACTGAGCTAGCTACAAGCTATATCCCCAGCCCTTTTTATTTCTTTATTTTGAGACTTGGTCTCACTAAGTTGCCTTGGCTGGCCTTGAACTTGTGATCCTCCTGCCTCAGCCTCCAGAGTAACTCTGATTACAGGCCTGCAACACAGAGCCTGGCTATAGTTCAGCTTTTAAAACTCTATAGATTTGTTTGTCTTGCCTTTGAATATTATTGGGAACACAACAATTTTGACATCCTCCCCCCAACATGGCTTATTTCTCATGAAATACTGTGGAAATGCTTTAGGCAACGGACATACTAAATGAAACTTTGACCTTTGAGGACGGCATGAAGTTTAAGGAACATAAAAGTATAAAGGAGCACGAAGATTACACAGACAAAGCCTTTGAAGAACTCTGTGGCCCAGAAGCAGGTACGTGTTCCTGGAACTCTATGGATAGACGGAGCCTGTTCATCAGCAATCTATCTTGAACTCAGGTTCTTGATTTGCATGCCCCCAGACTCCGCCCTCTTCTCCTGCTCCACACTTTGAGGATTTCACTAGTTCTCTCTACAGCCTCAGCCTCTCCTAGGAGCTCCAACTTACCAATCTTTTTCTTTACCTGCTGGAAAAGCTCACAGCCTTATTTTCTATTGAAAATAGCACATTTGTTTTTTTCTTTATAAGATTCATTTAAATCAAACTTTTCCTATAATCTGTATTGTGAATATTTCCCCCAGTTGGACTTCAGATCCCATAGTAACAACAGCAGATTGTGTGTGTGTGTGTGTGTGTGTGTGTGTGTGTGTGTGTGTTCACTCAGGAGTAAACTTTGTAACAGTTGTGCAGGGCGTTCAAAGAAAACTATAAGATTTTAGTCAAGTAAAGACCACTTGACAAATGGAGAGAATTAGCAGTGCTATAGATTGGAAATATGCTTCCTCAATATATTTATGGCAATTTCAATAAAAATCACAATAGAATTTTTTTTCCTGATGTGAGAAGATCTTGGCAGAAGATTGCAGAGATTTGTAATTAGCCAAAATATTGTGAGAAATAAGAGCAGTGAAGGAAAACTTACCTTTTCAAGTATCAAAATATATGTTATACTCATTCAAACAGTGTGATAGTGGTTTCAGGGAGAAGTGAGAGTTTAGAAACAAACCTCAGTATGTCTCATACATAATATAGTGCATGCCAGCAACCCAAGTCAATGGAAAGACAAAGGATTATTCAAATAAATGCTTCTAGACCAACTTGTTAACAATTTAGGAAAAACTGTGAAACCAGACCTGATGTAGTATAATGAAATAAATTTTTAAAAAATCAGTGTATGGGTGAAAATGTTACATTTAGAAAATGAAGTAAAAGAAAATAGGTCATTTTTTATGATAAGGAAGAAGTAGCTATTCAAAATTCATAGGAAAAATCACAGAATAAATTAGTAATAGAGTTGACTTTAATAACAAAAAGCTTTGGTAAGAAGACAACGCTAGACCTTAGAATTATTATTTTCAATCATTTATTTAGAGTAAATAATCATAAATGTCCATCAAAATTTAGCTGTAAATAAAGTCATTATAACATTATTTAAACAGTGAAAACTTGCTAATGTCCTAAAAGTCCAGCAAAAAAGAATTAAATTATAACCTATTTATGAGACAGACTACTATGTTTGCTTTAAAATGGTTGTATAGAAGAATATTTAATAACCTGAAAAAGATATGTAGCTGACTAAAAAAAAAAAGCAAGTTATGAGAGCAAATGTCACGTGGAGACCATTTTTGCCCCTGGTACTGGGCTGTTCTACCACTGAGCTACACCCCAGTCCTTTTCAGTTTTATGTTGAACTAAAAACCTCACTAAGTTGCTAAGGCTGGCCTTAAACTTGCAATCCTCCTACCTCAGCCTCCTGAGTTGCTGTGATTACAGATATACGCCACCACACCCAGCCCAATGTTTGTTTGAAAGCAAAACAAAAATGTTATAAAATTTTAATAGCCTCTGGATGGTGAGATTATGGGTGGATTTTTGCCACAGTCTGGCTGGGCACAATTCACGAGCCACTTATCAAGCAGAAATGAACTCTATTTTTAGTTGAACACACACACCACAGCACACGAGCTCTTCAGGAATTCCCTCAGAGCCCAACTGCCACCACTGGCTTCCCACAAGCCTCTCAACCCCACCCCCCCACTCCTCCTGCTCTTGAGGTCGATTGGCTGGGTCGTGTGGGCGGAGCCAAAAAAGTCCCCCAGTGAGCAGCTCCGTGGTCCGAAAGGGCGGGGAAATAGCCCAATGAGCATCACTGCAGAGGAGCCAATCAGCTGGCAGCTAGAAGTTTGCTGGGGCCGTTGTGAGCCAATCATCAGCTGGCAGCTGGAAGTTGCTGGGGCCCCTTCGGCTGTGGCTCTCAACAGATTTTTATTTATTTTTTATATGATTTTTAGTTTTATTATAGTGAAAACATGGTAATAAGAAAATACAAGTTATTTTTTAAATTAAAATGGAACAGATTGTGTTCTGTTGAAACTGATTAAAGAGTTTTCATACATGACTCAATGAATTTGTCCATTTGTGCCACTAATATTTTATTAGCACTTAATTAAATTGGCCAGTCAGTCAAACAGTAATAATAAAAGAGCGCAGAGAGGTATCTACTTGGGATGCTGAGGCAGGAGGGTCACAAGTTCAAGATCAATCTGGCAACTTAGACCCTGTCTCAAAATAAGAAATAAAAAGGGTGGGGCATGTTGCACAGTGGTAGAGTACCCCTGGGTTCACTCCCCATTATCACACACCAATAATAATAGCAAAAACAATAAAAGCAAAAGAATATTTAAATATGTTTGTAATTTCAGTCTTATAAGTTCCAGTTCTGGTTTTGCACATACCAGCTGATAGATACTGGCTCAGCTACCTAAGAACTGTTAGGTGCAATTAGTCACACTTTGGTTGCTTTTGAACTAATGAATTATTTTCTTATACCCAGAGGTTTTCACTCTGAATGTCGCTGCCACAGAAAACAGGAGGCAGTGGGATACCAGAGTGCCTCAGACTCTGATACAAATGATGGCAGCTGCTGATGTCACCTCCACGTGCTCCACTGTGCCTGATGGTGAGTCTCTGGATCAGCACCAGTTGACATATCGCAAGGGAAGAACAGGGGTCCCAAACCACTGTGTGGCTCATGCTCATCCTGTTGGAATAGTTTCTAGTTCTCACTACAAGCCCTTTAGATTTTGTACTAAACACTTTGCAAGGATATTGTTTTGGTTTTTCCTCCATCCCCAGAGAAACTTGCCTGATAATTATCCTAGAAAATTGGACACCCTAACCAGGCACAGTAAAGGAGGAAAGATCCTTGAAGAGAGGGAGAAGGTCCAAGGAAGGCAATAGACCTGATTTACTCTCTAATCATTTCCTTGTAATTCTATGGCAGGTCATTTTTTTCACCAATAAAATTGTTAAGTAAAAAGAGCAGCTTTTCCTAGGAGATTTAGAGAGTTCACAATGCAGAGATGCACATAAAATTGCTTTGTAAACCAATGTGCTACTTACATGTGTGGAATGTTTTGGACTTAATGATATTTTCAGCCCAATTCCCGCATTCATTTTTGAGGTTTTGATGTAGCCTTTTCTTAGAAGAGGTTCACAGCAACCGCCAGGAGTTATCTTCGTAGGCAGTAAAGATTTTTATTACTTATTTCCTGTGTTCCTCTTGATTACATGGCACTGAGAGAGACCTAAAATTTAAACTGTGCTGTAAATTGCAAAACAAGACCCAACAATATGCTGCCTACAGGAGACGCATTTGATAGGAAAAGATATACATAGACTGAAGGTGAAAGGTTGGGAAAAATCATATCACTCATATGGACTGCGGAAACAAGCAGGAGTGTCCATACTCATATCAAATAAAATAGATTTCAAGCCAAAGCTAATCAAAAGGGATAAAGAGGGACACTACATACTGCTCAAGGGAACCATACACCAACAAGACATAACAATCATAAATATATATGCCCCAAATAATGGTGC